GAAAAATGGCGAGAAGCAATTCAAAAAGTTCATTGACATGATGAAGAGCTTATCTATTAATATTCCATTGGTTGAGGCTTTGGAGCAAATGCCCGGATATGCAAAGTTCATGAAGGATTTGGTGACAAAGAAGAGGTCGATGAATTGGGAGACTATAAAGAAGATAATCAAGTGAGCACAATTGTGCACTCAATGGCTCCTAAATTGGAAGATCCCGGTGCTTTCACAATCCCTTGCACCATTGGAAGCGCCGACTTTGCCAAAGCTATTTGTGATCTAGGGGCGAGTATCAACTTGATGCCCTACTTGGTTTTCAAAATGTTGGGGACTGGGCAACCAAGACCCATTTCTATGAGGCTACAAATGGCAGATCGTACTATGAAGAGACCATTGGGTAATTTTGATGATGTGTTGGCTCGAGTTGATAAGTTCATCCTCCCGACGGACTTTGTGATTCTTGATTATGAAGTGGACTATGAGGTGCGTATTATTTTGGGTAGACCTTTACTTGCTACATGGAAGGCACTTGTTGATGTGGAAGCTGGCGAGCTCACCTTCCGGGTTGGTGATGAAAAGGTGATTTTCCATGTGTGCAAATCTCTAAGGTAACCTAATAGCAATGAAGTTTGTTCGTTTGTGGACTTGGTGACCGAGGTGATTATTGATGATGCTAGTGCCATGATGAATGTTGATGATACTTTGGAGGCCGTATTGCCTTAATCATGATGATGATGAGAGGATGGCTTTGTGGAATGTGTGAATGCATTGCAAGGAATGAGGTCGTGCACTTATGAACCCCGCAAATTGTCCTTAGATCTTGAAAACCGGAAGATTCCTCCAACAAAGCCCTCAATCGAGGAGCCTCCCAATTTGGAGTTAAAGCCATTGCCTCCACATCTCAGGTATGAATTCCTTGGCCCGTGTTCTACTTTACCGGTTATTCTTTCCTCTTATTTAACTAACGTGCAGGTAGACTCTACTTTGACGGTGCTACAAAAGAGAAAGAAAGCTATCGGATGAACATTGACGAATATTCGGGGTTTAAGCCCCGCCTTTTGCATGCACAAGATTATTTTGGAGGAGGATGCCAAACCCTCTGTTGAACATCAAAGAAGACTAAATGAAGCAATACAAGAGGTGGTGAAGAAGGAGATCATAAAGTGGTTGGATCCAGGGGTTGTTTACCCCATTTTTGATAGCTCGTGGACCTCTCCGGTGCAATGTGTCCCAAAGAAAGGGGGTATGACTGTGGTCACCAATGAAAAGAGTTGATTCCTACATGAATGGTGGCCGAGTGGAGAGTGTGTATGGACTATTGCAAGCTCAACAAAGTCACAAGGAAAGATCATTTCCCACTTCCCTTCCTTGATCAGATGCTTGATAGGTTGGCCAAACATGCTTTCTATTGTTTCCTTGATGGATATTCCGGCTACAATCAAATTCTTATTGCTCTGGAAGACCAAGAGAAAACTACTTTCACATGTCCCTATGGCACTTTTGCATTCTCGCGGATGTCATTTGGGTTGTGCAATGCACCAGTGACTTTTCAACGGTATATGATGGCTTTCACCGACATGGTGGAGGATTTTCTTAAGGTATTCATGAGTGATTTTTCTGTGTTTTGGGAATTCCTTTAATGATTGCTTGACAAACTTGGATAAGGTCTTGGCAAGATATGATGAGACAAACTTGGTGCTCAATTGGGAGAAGTGTCACTTCATGGTCGAGGAAGGCATTGTCCTTGGCCACAAAATTTCAAAGAATGGTATTGATGTCGACAAGGCTAAAATATAGGTGATTTCTAAACTCCCACCCCCTACATCCGTGAAGGGAGTGAGGAGCTTCTTGGGTCATGCGGGGTTCTTTCGCCATTTTATCAAGGATTTTTCTAAAGTAGTGAACCCCTTGTGTAAGCTTTTGGAGAAGGATGCCAAATTCCATTTCAACGAGGATTGCATGAAGGCATTCGAATTGCTCATGTTCAAATTGAATACTACTCCTATTATCACCGCATTGGAGCTTGCCTTTTGAGCTCATGTGTTAAGCAAGTGATGTGGCGGTCGGAGCAATTTTGGGGTAACGTATCAACAAAATCTTTCATCCGGTCTACTATGCTAGTAAGACCATCAATGATGCCCAAATCAATTACACAGTGACCGAAAAAGAGCTCCTTGCTATTTTCTTTGCTATGGAGAAGTTTCGCCCGCACTTGATGGGTACAAAGGTAATTGTCCACACCGATCATGCAGCGCTTCGGTACCTAATGAGCAAAAAGGATTCAAAGGCGAGGTTAATGCGGTGGGTGCTTTTATTGCAAGAGTTCTATCTCAAAATTCAAGACCGCAAAGGCAGTGAATACTAAGTGGCGGACCACTTGTCTCGATTTCAGGAGGAGGGGAGGCCACATGACGGCCTTGAGATTAATGACTCCTTCCCAGACGAGCAACTTCTAGCCATTTCAATGATCGAGATGCCATGGTTAGCCGACTTAGCAAATTATCTTATGAGTGGTATTGTACCAAATGAGTTCTCTTCAAACCAAAAGAAGAAGCTCAAAGGGTATTGCCTTGACTATTATTGGGATGAACCGTATCTCTTCCGGATTTATACCGATGGTGTGATTCGACGATGTGTGCCGGAGGAAGAGCAAGTGGAAATTATTGAGGCTTTCCACTCTTCACCATATGGTGGTCACCATGGTGGAGTGAGAACGGAGGAAAAAGTATTGAGTTGTGGATTCTATTGGCCTACCATCTACAAGGATGCTAATGATCTAGTCAAGCGTTGTGATGAATGTCAAAGGGCTGGTGGAATTTCTAAGAAAAATGAGATGCCCCTCACCACCATCTTGGAAATTGACATTTTTGATGTGTGGGGGATTGATTTCATGGGACCGTTCGTAAGCTCCTGTGGGAACACATACATTTTGGTAGCTGTGGACTATGTGTCAAAGTGGGTTAAGGCCATTGCTCTTCCCAACAATGAAGCTCGAAGTGTCGAGGAATTTTTGAAAAAGAATATCTTTACAAGATTTGGCACTCCAAGGGCCATTATAAGTGATGGGGTATGACACTTTTGCAACAAAGCTTTTTATACCTTACTCACCAAGTAAGGTGTCACTCACAAAATCTCGATCCCCTATCATCCTCAAGCAAGCAGACAAGTGGAAGTCTCTAACCGGGAGATCAAGAGTATTTTGTCAAAGATCGTGAATGCCAACCAGATGGATTGGTCGAAGAAACTTGATGATGCTCTATGGGCTTATAGGACGGCTTACAAAACATCGATTGGGATGTCTCTATACCTGTTGGTGTTCGTAAAAGCTTGTCACCTTCCGGTGGAACTTGAGCACAAGGCTATGTGGGCATTGAAGAAGCTTAATCTTGAGTGGGATGTCGCAGCTAATCTGAGGGTGGCACAATTGAATGAGCTTGATGAATTCTGGTACCATGCATATACAAGTTCTTCCTTATACAAGGAGAAGATGAAGTACCTCCATAACAAGTACATCCAGAACAAGGAGTTCAAAGAAGGTGAACTTGCGTTATTGTTCAATTCTCGGTTACGGATGTTTCCAAGAAAGTTGAAGTCTAAGTGGAGTGGTCCGTTTGAGGTTGTGAAAGTGACACCCTTTGGGGCATTAGACTTGAAAAATAAAAATTATGAAGTGTTTAGAGTCAATGGTCATCGGGTGAAGCATTATCTTGGAAAAGTTGATGATGGCCACATCGTGACATTAATTCATTTCAAGTGATTGATGGTAATCTGCGTCGTAACACGACGTTAAATCGGGCGCTTCTTGGGAGGCAACCCATGTTTCTTTTTATTTATCTTTTTCTTCTTTTTAGATAGGTTTTGTTTTGTGCTAACTGGTTTTGAAGTGAATTGCAGGAATGAGTGTGCTTTGCAGGAACTGTGCTCGAAAAAATGGCTAAGTGTTGAAAAAGTACGGACCGCACATTTATTTTGCGGACCGCACAATCTTGCATGCCACCGCAGAAAGGAGTCTGCGGCCGCACAATTCTTTGTGCGGCTGCACAACTGGAAACCAAAATAATGCAACTCTCTGAAGTTTGGAATTACAGAGAAATGACCATTATGCGGCCGCACATGAATTGTGCGGACCGCACAAATATCTGCGTCTGCACTCAATTTTGTGCGAACCACAGATCTTCACAAGGGTTCAAGTAAAGAATGCGGACCGTACTCAAAAATGTGCGGCCGCACTCAACTTCATTTTCTGACCTAATTTGGTCAACCTATAAATAGGCCCTCATAGCACTGTTTCAAACTTTACGCACTCTGAACTCTTGAGACTAAGGCAAGCACAGTGCACAAAAATTATTTCACCCTCTACACTCATTTTATCAGCCTAGATTCTACCATGCATCCTTCATCACCGGTATGTTTAATTCATCTTTAGATTTTTCAAGTTTTCTTAATTTTTGTTTTTAAGTAGTATAGTTATTTTTAGGCCTAAAATGTTAAATGTTCATCATGTGTGCTTAGGATTGTGTGGGTAATCTCATATGCACTCATTGGGGCTGGGTAAATCATATATCATGTTTAATTTGCCAATACCATGTCTAAACTATGCAAAACAATTGCAAAACCTAAGTTGAGTGCCGTATTATTTTAAATTGTGCGACCGCATATGAAATTGTGCGGGCCGCAGATCCTGAGTTAGGGCAATAATGTATGCATGCAATGTGCGAACCGCACTCAAAATTGTGCGGTCCGCAGAAAAATGTGTGCGACCGCAGATTCAACTTTAGAGAACCAGTAGTTTGAGCCTGGTCTTGTACGGCCGCACTCAAAATTGTGTGGTCCGCATTTCAGTTGTGCGATCGCACTTCAAAATTGTGCGATCCGCACAAGGCAGTCTACGACTGCACTCAATATTATGCGGACTGCACTTTCACATATGCATACTATTTTTCCTGCAACTGTTAACACACTGCTTCTGGACTCTAACTGACTCATGTTGCTTTGAATTGCAGACAATGGTTTGATCAAGAGGTAGAGGTGATACTTCTAAAGGGAGGGGTGAACCCTCCCGAGGCCGAGGCAAGGGTACTCAACCTCTCACAGTACAGATGAAAGCAATAGCCAAAAAGCAAACCACTGGGAGAGGTAGGGCCACAAAGCCCTCAGAATCAAGCTCTTATGTCCCGTCTAGGGAAGCCTCCGAGGGTCACTCAGTAGAGGTACAACTTGGGGCCCAGTCCTAACCACCACAATTCACTGGGAGATACCAACTCCGCAACGAACCCTCCACCACAACAAGTTCTTCTGAGGGTTCAGATGCCGACAACCAGGGTTCAGAGCCCTCCTCTACATACACTCCCCTTGCACCAGTTGTAGTAGATGATGATGATGATGTTCCTGATGATGGTAGAGGAGGTGACACTAGAGTGGGCAACCTAGAGAGGCTGAAGAAGAAGGAGGCATGAGAAGATAGGTTTGTGAGCTTGACAGCCTTCACAAAGTTCAGAGAATGGTGGCCCTAGAGATCGCTCACACTTGAGCGACAATTCTTATTGAAGGATTTGGATAGATACAATCCAAATGTGCTTAGACAGTTTAGAGAGTGCAAGGTGTGGATGTGGTTCACCCAGAGTGTTATGGATGCCAAGGAGCATTTGGTACGGGAGTTCTATGCCAATGTGGTACACATCAAGAAGGGTACCAAAGTGACCAAGGTGAGGATCTTGAAAGTCAGATTTGACCAAAGCACTCTGAACATTTACTTGGGGTTCGAAGAGGTAGAGCCAGTCCAGTACTTGGAGAAGCTTTCTATGGGTGATGCAGCTCGCCCTTGGCTAGCAGAGATCTTGGTATCTCCAGGACTACCACCACCGTGGATCACAACGGGGGTTCCCATTACATAGGACACCCTCAATTTTGAAGCAAAAGGGTGGCAAACGTTTGTGTGCAGCCGTATAGACCCGAGCCAGAATGAGAACAATCTTCTAATCCCTCGGGTAGTTTTGGTGGAATCTATCATGGCCGGGTGCCCAATCAATGTGGGTGCTATCATGTCGGCCAACATGTCAGTGGTAGTTAGAAAAGGTGAAAGCTCCGACCCATATCCCAACATCCTCACAACATATCTCACAGATGCAACGGTGGAGCCGAGGAGTTTTGATACAAAGGTGCGGGCCAAAAATCCCTTCTTATGGAACTCTTTGCAAGGTCCGGGGAACCCAAAGTTCAAGGGTAAGGCAATTGCTACCGTTGGTCAGTCTGATGAGCCATCGGTGGTGGTTACAGATTCAACTATTGTGCCTTCTACAACTCCCATGCCTTCTGCAGCTGCCATGCCTTCCACAACAACCAGTCCTTCCACCGAGACAGCTGACATGCCACCACCTTCATCTTCTAGACCATCAACATCAGTACCAGTTCCTTCCTCATCCACATATCCACTCACTGCATTGCGAGTCTCCCAGACATTGGCGAGTCTCAACAACTGGATGCAGACAGCTACTTCAAAGCTGTCTGATATATCCAGTGTTGTTGCAACATAATCTTCCACCCCAGCAGTACCACATGTTCCTCCATCGGTAGAGGAAACATTGAAGAAGATCTTGGACAATCAGAAGACCATTATGGATACATTGGTGGCGCATGGGGGAGATATTGGGGAGTTAGGTAAACATGTGAAGAAGATGAGGAAATCTCAGGCCTCGAAGAAATCAGTGGACAGATTGAGGAAAAAAGTGACCAAGATTGCAGCAGCTGGTGATCTTCCATTTGACATACTGATGGAGACAAATCCATTAGTACCTGTAGACCCAGCAACACCATCAGCAGAGGCACCAACTGGCCAGTCTGACGAGCCAGACCTTGCTGCCCATACTGCCGAGGAGGTGCGTCAGATGTTCACCAACCCCGTTACTCCTCGAGCAGAGGATGACAAGATCCAGTGGAGGAGCCTGAGGGTGGTGATGCTGCCATGCACACTGAGACCACATAGGGAGTTTTCTGCACTCTCTACCCTTCCTTATTTTGATTTTTGTTAAGCATTGAGGACAATGCTTATTCTTATTCTGGGGGTGGTCTATTTTGGTTGATTTGATATGACATTGGCCTGTAATAACTATAATACTCTCTTTTTATCTTTATTTTCTTTTTCATTATGTATATATTCCTCCCTCTCTTTTGATGTATATATTCTATTCCCCATTCTCGGTTTGTATATTTATTTTTCTTGCTTTCAGTAGTTTATTTCATAGCTTCTTTATTTTGCTTTCACAGTAGTCTAGCTTATTATTTACTTTAATAGCTTCTTTTTGATTTGGTAGCTTCTTTTTACATTTAAGTGATCAACAAGCCTTTGGTTTTCTTAATGCCACGGTTCTTTCCAAAGGTGGGTTTTGTGTGAACCGGGTGGCTCTTCCCAACGATGGATGGAGTTACAACCTTCTTAAGGGATTAAGTCCATTTTTTATGTTTAGGTAAAAACAATAGTAATAATGAATAAAAGGGTCAAGCATGCTTCACTTGGTACCTGGTTAAAAGCAAGCTCTTAAAAAGAAATGGCTCTAGTTAGTGACCTTGTGACTTTTGTGTTGACTTAGGCAATCATCGAGTGGTTTAGTTGAACCATTAGCGATTTTCAATCTTGAATACGGTTGTTGTGGGCTCTCTACTCTATCCTCTTTAACAATCCAACTGTGTGAGAGGTGAGATATTTTTTTACAAGTCCAAGTACCCGTGTGAATAGTCTAGAACTTGCCCTGAATGTGTTTCTAGGCGAAATTCTAAGTTTTGCTTGGCTTGAGAAATGATTGTAGGCTCTCCTTGACCCATTTTGAAACTTTCTATGGCCCACCAATGATGTTATCCCTAGTCAACCCATTTGAGCTTAAAGCCTTTTTCATTTGATAACCATGTTACAAGCCTTTACCCGTTTGATAGTAACCCTCTCTTGGCACCCGAGCTTTCCTTAGTACTCATGAGAAACAAATGGAGAAAACATAAGTTTGGGGGAGAGACAAGGAGTTTGAAAGTGATATCAAGGTACAAAAAGAGAAAAGAAATGAAGAAAAGGAAAGAAAAAGAAAAAGAAAAAGAAAAAGAAAAAGAAAAAAAAAAAGAAAAAGAAAAACACAAAATGAAAGTGAATAAAGTGAAGAGTTGATGGGATTCAAAGAATAGTAAAAGTGCAAAGCATGGAGAAAACAAAGAAGGAGAAAGTGAATATCATGACCAAGAAAGAGTGATGTCAAGTCTCTCTAGTTCCCGTAAGGAAAAAGAAAATGACTCAAAGAGTCGGCAAAAGTATGACCCAAAAAGAGAAAATGGAGTGTTAAGGAAAGATGAACCTGTTCTATTCCAATATTTCCCACCTTAGCCAAAAGCCTTCATTACATGCCGAAAAATCCCTACGTGATTTCAAGCTGAGTAAGCTTACATTAATGGTGATCTACATGGGGGGCAAGCATATGGTACTTAGAGCCGTACTTGTGACATTCTTTTGAGAGTGATGAGCGAACTTTTCACAAGTCATTGAATTGAGTGCTACATTCTTAAGTGCGATGAGCTAACAGAGAGTATAAGAGGAGGAGGAGTTTGGGATCCACAATGACCTACATGAAAGTGCGGACTTCCTTGATGAGTAAAATCAACTCTTGATGCTCAAGTGTCACATTAGAGCTATTCATGCTTTAACCTTCAAAACAGTGCCTTGTTGATAATTCATGAGTGTGTGGGTAATTGTTGGTCCCAATTGATGTGTGTTTGATTCACCTTAAGCTAGCTGAAATAGCTCTTTTCTTATGGAAGTGTGAATTACCTTATTTGCTTGAGGACAAGCAAAAGCTTAAGTTTGGGGGAGTTGATAAGTGGGGATTTTGACTACTTATTTACGCCCTTTTTACTTTTGTTTTAGCTGAAAAATGCTTAAAGGTATTCCCGAAAACTGATAAAATATGCTTTCTTGCAGGCTATTGGAAAATGCACCAAAGAAATGAAATTCAAATCAAGAAGGAGTATTTTTGGACAAGGACTAAAATCAAGCAAAAAGGGTAAAGTGCGGACCGCAAAATTTTGTCAGCGGCCACAGATCATGAAGGGATTTATGTCAGAGCTTCTTTGAAAAGTGCGGACCACACAATAATTGTGTGGCCGCAGAAGAGGAAGATCAGAGAGTCCCAACTTTAAGTCCATCAAGAAGTGCGGACCGCACTATTATTGTGTGGCCGCAGAAGAGGAAGATCAGAGAGTCCCAACTTTAAGTCCATCAAGAAGTGCGGACCGCACTATTATTGTGTGGCCGCAGAACTCAAGAGTGCGGCCGCGCTAAAAAATGTGCGGTCCACAGAACCTGAAGAAGTGCAGCCGCAATTCAAAATTATGTGGCCGCAGAAGTCCCTCCTATCAAGCTCTGCATCAAAGTGCGGACCACACATAGAATTGTGCGGCCGCAGAACCTCCGAAAGGGTAATTTTGTCCGAAAATTTCAGCTGTGTATAAGTAGTCTTTTTTGCAAAATTAGGTTAAGTTAGAACATCTGAAAGTTGGCAGCCGTTTTGATTTACTGCTTTAGGAAATTTTATGATAGTTTGTCTATTTTACATTGGATTTTTATCTTTTTATCATTGAATATGAGTTTAATCTTTTATTCTTCTTTAATTTCTTCATTTTTATCTATGAGTAGCTAAATTTCTAGCTAGGGTTATGACCCAACCCTAGTGTGGGTACCTAATGGATGTTTGATTTAGGACTTGTTTATGGTTGGGTGTGTAATATTTAGCCTAGTTCTTACTTAAATTGTAGAATTAATGGTTTCAAACATTGATTCAAAAAGTAGAGACCGAGTCTAGAAAAACTTGGTTAACAAGAAATTAGGGTGAACTTATGAAATTGATAGTCCCAACTAAAGGGTTGAATCTAGAGATAGTAAAACCCAACTTGAGCATCTATCAGCTGTTTTGTGAATTACCCATTTGGACTTGAGAAAGACAAATTGGGCAAAACCACTCTATTACCGAGAGGTATTGAGTGAGTAATTGCATGTTGATTGTTATATTACACCCCGACCTACCAAACCTGCCCTAAAGCCCACAACCCGTTAGCCAAACACCTAGGTGGAA